AGGAAATGCCTAGGTGAAATCTGCCCTGTCACAGCCGTGACTTTCTAAGTGAATTTTGGGCATCTTACAGATTGAACTGGGCTGAGACCAAAACATAAAAGTTGTAGCCCTGTGTTTAAGCTTTAAAACGAGACTAAAATCGTAGCAATTTGATGTGTATAACGCAAGTTATGCCCTTTTTAGTGAGACCTGTACAGAATGACTGTTTTAATGCAATATTGCATTTGGCATTTCATAAGTGCATTAGTGAGCATGAGTTGTCCATACCCATTGTTTATGCACCTAAGAAGTAGCTTGAACATAGCAGAGAATGTAAGTATAAGCTACTATGAGAGTAAAGAGAGAGAAAGAGAGAATGAGCACTAGAGAACGAAGAGAAAAGAGAAAAGAGTAGGTTATGCGATGGGGAACCCGTGAGTAATGGGTAGAGTTTCCCGCATGTACACCGCATTGAGAGAGCGGCATGGGTATGAGAGAGAGAAGTGGTGTAGCCCGTGAGAGTGCATGCGGATGAGGGCTATACCCGAGTACCCGAGAGAGAGAGATTATACACTCACATGGCCAAGGGTTCCGAATCCATGCATAACCGAGTCCGATCGGCTAGTATGAGTAGAAGTCACGTAGAGTGGGAGCGAGTCCCAGCCGTGTCTCCGGTAAGATGAGGTCGTGACTACTAAAGAGAGTTAGTAAAAAGAGTTATGAGAAAGAGAGAGTAGTGAGAAGTATAAAGAGAGAGTAAATGAGGATTGTAAGGAAAGAATTAGAGAGAGTAAGAGTTACGGGGATAGATGCGTAGAAGATTTACTTACTGAGCATTAGTTGTGTTCACCCCGTTGTTTTTCATGTTTTGCAGGATCTAGGTGAGGACATGGTCGGATGGGCATTGGCAAGCGAAGGGAAATGGCTACACTGTCCACCTTGTTTTATTGTTTTGTACATGACACAACTTTTTGTATTTAAAGAATGTATATATCTAATAAAAGAAAAAAAATTTGGGCCCAACCTTTTATATTACTTTATAATTATGAACATGTTTTATGAGTATTTGAGTAGAAAATGGAGTTATTACACTTTTCTAATTTAATGAAATACAGAATTTGTGTGTAAGAACTTGTTTTTATATACTGCATTGCTAATTACAACCATCTATTATTAAAAAAAAAAAAAAAAAAAAAATCTTTGAAATGGGAGATTATCATCGACTGTCTTTAAGGTTTCTAAGTTCATCATTCTGATGACAACTTTTATACTTTTTATCATAAAATATCTTCGAAGTTTGAAACCATTGTTTTAAAAGCCGGACAGGACCGGTCGGTCCAACCGGTTGGACAGGGAACCGGTCACGTCTCCAGTTCGGGTTAATTCCAAAACCGTTATAATACAATGGACCGCGTTAAACCGTTAAAAAACCAGATATTTACAGCGAACCGTCGGTCCAATCGGACCAACTGATAAACCGGTCCAATTAAAAATCCCTAAACCTAATACACGCAGCCTTCTTCTCATCGCGTATTCGCTTTCAGTTCATCTCTTTCTCAGTTTCTTACGCAAATTTCTCAGCTTCTTCTCTCTTCTCTACAAAAATTTTTTAGCTTCGTCTTTGTTGTTTGTTCTCTGCAAAGATTTCTTTCTGACATCCCACCCAAATCGCATCTGAACTCTCTGAAATCGACGACAACGTCTTCCTTCCTAGCCGAAAATCAACGACGACAGCTCCGTTCCTCGCTGGAAATCAACGGCGACAGCTCCATTCGTTGACGACAGCCCCATTCTTCGATCCAGGTAAAAACATGCCATTCTTCGATCCAGCTTCAATAATCAATAATGATTTTGTTGCAAACTTAATCTGGAGCAATAATCAATGAATTTTGATGTGCAGATTTTGTTGTGAAAGAGCCTATGGTGATTCTTAACTGAGAACTCTATGAATATTGTGTATGTTTAAGACCTTTAGATGTGCAGATTTTGTTGTGAAAGGGCCTATGGTGATTGGTCATGAGTGTGCTGGGATCATAGAGGAGGTGGGAAGTGAAGTGGAGACTTTAGTGCCTGGTGATCGTGTGGCCCTAGAACCAGGGATCAGCTGCTGGCGATGCAATCAGTGCAGAGAAGGTCGAGACAATCTATGTCCTGAGATGAAGTTCTTTGCAACTCCACCAGTTCATGGTTCTCTTGCCAACCAGGTTAACGAAAATGCTACATTTCTAACTATAGTCTGTTGGACTCTGTGCTTTTAGAAATTAACTATTACCTTATGAATTGTGCATTTAGCAATTAGAAATATGGTAGACAATCATTTGAAAGGTTGTAATGTTTGTATAGTTGTGTCAATATACATAGTCTTCTTCAAAACATACTGGTCAATTCAATTGTGTTACTCTAATTTGACCTTTATCAAAGGTAGCATAGTTTTTGACAAATTTGGGATTGATCCTGTGGAGTAAAATGTTCTTATGCTTCTGTATATAGTCGTGTTAACTACAGGGTGTATAGGCTCTAGGTGATGTGCGATTTTGTAGGACATTCATGTTGGCAAGCTATCAGGTAAAGACAGTAGCCTTTGCATACACAATATTCAAGATTTTGTAGGACACCTCAAGGTTTGAAACATACACAATATTCATACACAATATGATGATGATGATGGTGATGAATTTTGATGCTAGTGTGTGAAGCTCAATCAACATGGAGACGGATCAAAGAAAAAACACTTGCATCAAATGTTTTATTATTAACTATTATGTATTTTGTTTTGTCATTTAATATGTAAATACAACATCATGTTTGAATTTGGACTTTGAATTGTTGTTAAATACTTAAATTATGTTAGGATTGTTGTTGAATTTGAACTTTGAATCATGTTGGATAGTAATTAAGTTGTTATTGTATTATTAAAAAATAGAAATCTAAAAAAAAAAAAAAAAAAAAGTTTTTTTAAAAGTGTGCTAACGTCATTATGATGTGTGATGACATCACCAGTCCAACCAGTTGAACCGTGACCCAGACATCAAAGCGGGTTGCCCTCTGGTTCGGTTTTTAAAACAATGTTTAAAACTATATTGTAGTTTGCGGTACATTAGTTAAATGGTAACTTTGGTCTTCTTTAACTTGTTTTATGAGAAAATGTTTTACAAAGCGACAACGAGATAGGGCTAGTGCAAAAAGATATTTGTTATCAAAATTTTAAATTTTGAAGATCCATCTAATGACATTTGATAACAAAAAGAGGTATCGATGATACAATTTCAAAATTTGAGGATAATCTATGATTAAAAAAAAGCAAAAATTGTCATCTAAAACCTTTAAGGATAATCTTCCTAATTGAAATTGGTTGCATGTATAAAATTGACCTTATTTTGATGTGATTCAGACAAATTATTACAGACCAGGTCAACTAGAGGCTTTTTAGTTCCTTTTCTTTTCCCATTTCAGTAATAAATATTTTAAATGAATCAGAATTTTGCAGAAATTTAAAGAGCTCGTTACTTGGGAAGGTTAATTTTTTATAGAGTAATGCTATAGTTACCGAAAAGTTTACACCGAATTTGTGCACCGAATGACGTAGCAAAATCCTGACCGTTGATTTATTATCAGTTAATATTAATCAACGGTCAGGATTTTGTCACGTCATTCGGTGCACAAATTTGGTGTAAACTTTTCGGTAACTCTATCATTTCCCTTTTTTTATAATAGGCAACCAATCTCTACCAAGTCTGGTTATTACCAAGTCCAGAATAACCTGATTTATTTACGTACAGAAATGTCACAATATACCAAATATTTCAAGTTTGATCATCGAAAATACTCTCTTATTCACCGTCGGCAAACCTAGAACAAACCTTTATTTCAATATCCACGCTTCAAGAGAATACTACTTAACTGAAAACTCATACAACAATGTATGTTTATGGCATTCGGAAATCCCTGCGTCTCTAAGCAGACACCGACATGCTTTCCATAAACTGCACCTCCTTTTTTGACGACTCCATTAACATAGTTCCCAGTGTAAAACTACATCCCAGGGGCATTGGTCCAAAGGTTAAGGACCCTTGAGGATGACAGGTCCTTCAGTTTTACAGCATGCCTCGACCCCGATTTTGCTTTCCCACAATCAAGCACGTCGTTGTGGTCATACCCTAAACCCACTTCATGGATTGATGCACCGATCTTCTTCTCAGAGGTGAAATCAAAAGAGTGGCTTAATTTCATTGGTTGGGACAGTGTTCTCATCTACGGGAGTAATGTGTTGCCCCCCAATCTGAATTGAGTGCTCAAGTACGTTCCCACAGTTGTAGCCTGCCAAGTTCCAGTAGGTGTGTTGAGCTAAACTGATTGGAGTTGGCTTATTCTCCGGAACTGCTTCCATGTCAAGTCCCAACATCGTTTTTGAAGTAAGAGTGTAAGTTGCAGTCACAGATACTTTCTATTGCAAAACAAACTAAAAATGTTGTGTTTAAAACTTTATAAAAGGCTGGCTGCAAGTGTTCTCAACTGTGGTAAGGGGAGAGTGTGGCTTGATCCTAATGAGGCCAATCACATCTCCTTCTCCATTTCCTAAGGGGAGAGTGCTCTCAAGTGTTTTATATATGCATCATAATAGTAGTTATATTCTACATTTAACGATAAATGAAAACTTGCAATTGCAGGAATGGACCTAAGAAAGCTGGTAAAGGATGGATTGATAGTGAAAAAGCCTATGGGAAGAGGAAGCCCATGAATCAAAAGAGAAAAGGGAGGCATTCAGGATCAAGAAAACTCAATAAATTGAACTCAAATCTACCTTATTCAACTTTAATTAGTTTTCACATAATACTCTTTTTAAGTTCCTAGTACAAAATTGCATAGAGTTTCAAATAATTAGAGGAATCAGAATTCAGGTGAGCAACAACAAATTGCAATAAGCAAAAAAACTTAAAAATAATATAAATGATTAAATACATGAAGACTTATGATCAAGGGACGCTACATAGAAAATAGGAAGAGAAAATACAATCACTTGTAGCATAAACTTACAGACATTCACAGCATTGAAGATGGTTTATCATTTATCATTTCAGCTTCTTGTTGACTTTTGGACGGGAGGAAATGAAGGAAGCAACTCTAAACATTCATGATAATTTTCATGCTTTAAAAGTAGATCGACAACTATGGAAAATGTGGATTCATCTGGCATCACAATTCGGTCCTTCATTTTGTGAAGAAGTTCAACCACTTTAGCTGCCTCATTATTTTGTAAAAAACCTCGCATAAGAGTATTGAATGTAACAACATTTGGAGCACAACCATTCTTTTCCATATCTGATAACAAATCATATGCATTTTGCAGTTTCCCTTTTTTGCAAAACCCATGGGTTAAAATGGAATATGTCACAACGTCTGGCATTAAGCCTTTTTTAGGCAACTTGTGAAATAACTCCAAAGCAATTTCAAGCATTCCCTTTTTACACAACCCATCAATGAGGCTGTTGAAGATTTCAATATCAATTTTAAACTCATAGTACTCCAAAGCACGAAACCATTTTGCTGCCTCCAGAACACGGCCATTCTTGCATAGACCATCAATCAAAATATTATATGTAAATGAATTCGGTGCAAAATTACTAAGTTTCATCTCATCAAATAGTTTCTGTGCAGCTCCAACCTTATTTGATAGAAATAGACTAGTTAACAAACCGTTATATGTATATACTGTTGGTCTAATTCCCTTTGAAACCATTTCCTTGTACATACTCATAGCATTCTCTAACTTCCTATTCTTGCCATAGGCATTGATCAAAGTAGTATAACTGACAACATCAGGCATACAACCCTTACTCTCCATGAAGATACGCAGCTCCCTTGCATCAACAAATCTACGCAGCAAGCAATAACCATCCATCAAAGTGTTATAACTAAACGTGTTTGGTTGGAAACCTCTTTGGATCATAAATTCCAGCAATCCATTAGCTTCCTCTATGTTCCCCTCCTTGCAAAACCCACTTATCATTGTATTATAAGTCAGTAAATTAGGCTGCAAACCTTGATCCACCATCTCAATAAACAAGCCTTTAGCCTCCTCCAGATTTCCCACAAAACACCAACCGTAAATTAAAGAGTTACAAACAACCACATCTGGCTTAATTCCTCTACTCTTCATTTCTATAAACAATTCTTTTACCCTATCTACCAACCCATCTTTACAAAGACCATCAATAATACTACTATAACAAACAATATTAGGCTTACAAATGAAACCCCGTTCACCATTCCTATTAACCATTTCTTCGTGTATCCTAAGTGCAATACTCGTATTCCCTGTCCGACAGAAGCCGGTAATCAAAGTCCCATACGTAGTCACGTCAGGCCTAACCCCAAAGACAACCATTTTCTTGAACAACCTCGTAGCCTCCGTACCCCTATTCTCCAAACACAAACCTTTAATCAAAGAAGTCAAAGTCACAACATCTGGGCTAAAACCCCACCTCAAAATCTCCCCCAAAACAACAAAACCATCACAAACTCGACCCACATTACAAAAGCAATTAATCAAAATAGACAAAGTAAAAAGATCCGGTAACAAACCCATCGAATCCGCTTGCTTGTACAGCAAAATAACGTCTTCATAAAATTTTTTCTTGGCAAGAGCTCCAAACATCCGGTTGAATGATAAAATCGGTGGTTTGGGTTGCATATGAATCATTAAACAAAAGAAATAATGTGCTTCATCAAGAGTGATATTACCTTGTTGACAATCTTTTTGAAGGAATTTATCAAGCCTCGCAACCTCTTCAGCGTTATCTACTGAATCTTGTGGTATGGTTGCTATTACTTTACATGAATTTGTGAATAAAGATGAGAGTTTGGTTTTCGTAATCGTTTCAGAAGATGAAGAACAACGACGAAGAAAGCTTTTGGAGGCCATTTGAGTAGCGCCGTTTGTGGATTATCTAGGGTTCCAACTGCGTTAGTCTTTTCTCCTTCATGGGTTTACATATAAATAATACAACAATCTCACTGGAAATATAAAATAAATCATCAATTTCAAATCAAATCAAAAGAAAAAAAAAAACTTTTTAAGGTTTGCTAAGCATTAATCTTTAGTGAACATGAATTACTTTGCCTGTGTTACGCACGGACAAAAGTGAACATAAGTACATTCTTTGGGGCTGTTTGGATTGGGTTAATATTTAATAACTAGGATAATATTTTTTAAATTGAGCTGATGATGATGTTTGGTTGGTTGGTAAAAAATTATTCTTGAAATATTTTATGACAAACAGTAGCATTTTGGGGGTAAATTTCTGGTAATCTTAATATCTAAGGGGGGCTGTTATTAAAACTTACTTTGGTATTACAATTTTTTTCCCATATTGCCCCTAAACAGTTGAACATTTAGTCCAAATCAACCTATATTTGCTAATATTTACAAAACATCCAATCACTCATGCAAACACTTTTATCCCCGCTTTTTAAATTTTTCAGACGACATTGCCTTTGTTATTATCATTATTCACATAAATGTCTTTATACCCAGAACTAGTCACCACCAGCAACCACCGTTGATCGCAATCGAAGGTTGCCAAAAGTCATCATAATGGCATACAACCGGTCGTATATGACCGACCGTGCGTCGACTAGGCTTTTTTTGACCATGCATCACAGAGATACCTGGTCGGAAAAAGCCAGATCTGTTGTGGCCGTGAAACGGCGAATGATCTGACCATGAAATAGCCAGGTCTTTGGTTGTGAAACGATCGATGTTTCACTGCCAAAGATCTGGCCATTTCACGGCCAGATCTGTGGCACTACCACTGGTGATGGCTGGTTGTCGGTAGTGGCTAGGGGTGGGTGGGGGTGTTTTTGTTAAGTTTAAAACATTTTTGATTGCTATGGTGTTTTTGCTCAATATGAAAAGTAGGGGGTTAAAAGAAATTATTCAAAAAATAATAATAAAAAATATTGTTAAATTAATATTTAAAAAAGAGGACAATTTAGTAATCTATATAACATACCCACCCATTTATCCTTCCAACCAAACATATTATTCACCAATATATTTGAAACAACCAAATACATTTTTTAAACATTCCTAGTAATCTTCAAAGTAATCTTTTATTCCGTTAATATAATATCCCCATATAATAAAACATTATATGATTCAAACACTCCCTTTAAGGTATTCGTTATCCACCTATGAAATTTAAAAAAAAAAAAAACTTTTTTTTTAATCACCATTAGGTGGCGCAACAGTCAATTATGATTCTCGGGTATATTACTCAAGAGGTCTTGAGTTTGATCCACCTAGATTGCTAATATGGGTGGACATTGAAGGGATTTATCTGGCTGTCAACTTTAGAGCCTAGAAGGATTATTTGAGGTGTGCGCAAGCTGACCCAAACACCCTTGGCCCTGAAGCATTACTGTTGACTATTAAGCTAAACTTTCTTTTCAATCTTGGATCAACCATCTCCTCTTTCCAATTCTCCTCCCCACATGGCAATTTCCTTTTCACAATCTGCACAATTCTTGTCACTCAGCTTCTTGCTTCGTGTAACGCCCCACTTGAGGCATGTAGCTAATTTAATGTGTATTGCCTCAATGTTTATTGTTTTGCTCTTAGTGGAGTTGGTATATTGTTAATATTGGTTGGTTGGCCCTTGGTTGAACTTATGCTTTGGTTTGGTTGAGTGTTTACCCTGAAATTGGTTAAGACTTGGCGAATTTTGAGATTTCAGTCTTCGCCGCGGTGACATAGGCTTTGGATTTCTTCGTCAGGGCGACGAAAAAGTCTTCATTGCAGCGAAGAGCTGGCTGAAAAGGTGGGTGAAGTTTCTAGAGAATGTTCCATAGGGGCAAAGTGACCATTCTACCCCTAATTAGCAAGAAAAGTGGGGAGTGAAATGTTAGAAAATTTCATGGAGAATGCATTAGAGTTGGGGGTGTGATTGTAATGAATTCAAGGACAAAGATGAAATTTCTAAGGAAGAGCAAGGGCAAAATGGGAAAGAGAGGTTATAATATGAGTTAAAAAGGGGTTAAGTTTAGCAAACCCTTCATTCTTCTTCTTCTTCTTCCACCACCATTCCCTTTCATCATTTTCTCTCAACTCTTCATTCAATTTTTCAAGGAATTTAGAGGGCTTTTTGAGTAATTTTGGTAGAGAGTTACTCTAAAGCATCCTAAGGTAAGGATTCTTGTTTTAGATGTGAATTTTACTGATAGATATGTTGAAGTCTTATAGTGTTATTGTTTAAAGTTTTAGAGAAAAGACTATCTATCAAAGGAAAAGAGAAGTGCTAGTGGAGTCACTCCATCATAAGGTAAGTAAATCCAACCCAAGTTGAGATTCAAGAAATTTATTGAGTAGAGATTTATGTATGCATGTGTATGTTATGTTATTGAGAAATTGAGATGAGATGTGTATTGAGTTTATGGTTGTTGGATTTGTTTACATTATGAGAAGTGTTTGATGTGTGAAGAGAGATTGAAATTGAGTTGAAGTTGGAGGAGTTTTGCATGAATCTTTCTAGGAGTGTTTTCCTTGGCAGGAACCTAGAGTGTATGAGGGAGTTTTCTCCCATTTTGGATGATTAAAGAAAGGAGAAGAGTTATAGTTAAAGTAGAGATTTTGTATACACATGAGTTGTTTGATAAAATGCTTAAGAGAGGCATGAGTAAGGGTAGAGAACCTTAATTATTGCTACATGTCATACTTGCATTTCATGAGTGCATTAATGAGCATGAGTCATTCATAGGCATTAATTGTGCATTGGAGAAATAGCTTGAGAAAGAGTAGAGAATTTTGAGAAGTAACTCCTCTAAGAGTAAAGAGAAAGAGAGAATGATCACTAGAGAATAAAGAGAGAGTAGTGCTAAAGAAGAGAATAGAGTAGGTTGTGCGATGAGGAACCTATGAGTAATGGGTAGAGTATTCTCGCATGTACGTCGCAAAGAGAGAGCGGCCTGAGTATGAGAGAGAAAAGTGGTGTGGCCTGTGAGAATGCATGTGGATGAGGGCTATACCCGAGAGTACCTGAGAGAGAGAGAATATACACTCACATGGCCAAGGGTTTCGAATCCATGCATAATCGAGTCTGATCGGCTGAGAATGAGTAAACGTCACAGAGAGCAGGAGCGAATCCCGGCCGTGCCTCCGATAAGATGGGGTCATGACTTACAAGAGAGAGTTCGTAGAAAAGAGTTCTAAGAAAGAGAAACAGAAAGAGAAAATAGAGAGAATTGTAAAAGAGAGAGTACATGAGAATAGGGCAATTGTAAGGAAAGAATTGAAGAGAGAGAGTTACGGGGATAGAGGAGTAGAGGGTTTACTTACTAAGCATTGTTTGTGCTCACCTCATTGTTTTCTATGTTTTGCAGGATCTAGGTGAGGACACGGTCGGATAGACGTCGGCAAGCAAGAAGTAATAGCTACATTGTCCACTATTTTTTACGACTTTTGTATATGTTAACTTTATTTTGTATAAAGGATGTATATATTTAATAAACGAAAAATTTGGGCCCAATTACTTTTGTTAGTATACTTTTATTTTTATTATGTATATTTTATGAGTATATGCATAGAAAGCAGCTATTACATTCCGCCATCACCTTCCTCTGCCACTAGATTCGAAACTCAAATTCCTTTCACCATTTCAAGAATTAATCACCCTCCGTAGCTATAAACATCAATCTTGGAAGTAATACTAAGATTCATAGCCTACTTTGGAGCCATGTAACCCTTTGTACTGCGAATCTTGGAGACTTCTGAAGTTTATTTGTCTCTGTGCCGCGGATCTTATTATTAAAATAAAATGTTAAAATAAAAATAAAGAATTTCACTAATTAAATTCAAATCTTATTAATATTCATATTTTTTTGTAATTTTACCAACAAATTCCGATTATCGATTTGGTAATACAGTGTGAGCTTGTGGTTCTATATTTATTTTTAGTTTAAAAACCTTCAATTACATGAATTTTCAAGATAGATAAGAGAGAAGATTAGACATTTATGTATGTATTGACTTTTATATATAATGAAGTACCATTTAGTAAAGCATAAACATATTTTAAGCATATTTTGTTTATAATGTCATGAGAAACAACTATCGAAAACTCGAATTCTAAGATTATACCGAATCAATAACATTATTGATTTGTTAATATAGTGTGAGTTTATGGTTATATTTTAGGTATTCCATATTAAATAACGTTAATACTACAGTATATATTTAATCTTTACTCAATTATAGGCTCCCAATAGAACATTATGCAGTTTAAATCATAGAATAAGGTGCAAAGTTTGCTTCTATATCAAGTAAATTTAGCTTTAGAAAAGGCTGGCTGCAAGTGTTCTCAAGTGTGGCAAAGGAAGAGTGCGGCTTGATCCTAATAAGGCCAATCACATCTCCTTAAACTACCATCCAAAACAGGCATAAGGGCACGACGCTATCCATTTCTATTGTGCAAGGAAATTCGTTTCCAAAATTGCAGTTTGTATGTAAGCTAAAAGAATGTCAAAACTTCAATGTGCATGTAATTCCCAAATTACAAATGGGAATTTCATTTAAGTCAATATGAAAGTTGA